ATTTATTTGATTAAGTGTTTTCAGGTTTATGCATCATTCACCTGAAAACAGGGGGGCATATGTTGACAACCAAAAATGTCCATTTTATGAAGTTGTCAAAATGTGAAACGGACTTCACCATTGTGTTCCTCTCGTCGAGACGGTCAAAAACATATATGGAACGTCTAATTTGAGGTCCGGATGAAGAAGTTATGCCCTCGGAAAGATGCCTCATTGTCGGGAGTTCCGACCCAAGTCGGGACTTCTGGGAAGCCTGAAGAAATCTGCTCGGGTGTCTGGGGTTATCCCTACGTCAGGAGTTCCGACTGTCGGGAGTTCCGACCCAAGTTGGGACTTCCAACATACCTAACAGAAAATCCTGTTCGGATCTGGCCTTTTGGATTCTGATCCGAACTGTTCCAAACTCATGGGAAACTTGGAAAATAAGGCTTGAGAGGTTTCCATCGATAAGACCACCCTCTCTATATATAAGAGGATCATGGCCGATTGAGTTACCATCTATCCAATCGTCAAACAAATCAATCTACTACCTCTACTCCAACTCTTTTGCCCTCTTCTTTAACCCCCATGCTGTTCATCCCTTGATCCGACGACCAAGGATGGCGCCCTAGGCTTGCTGGGGCCGACCTAGGACAACCCGGACGACATCCTTGCCTCGACGAGGTCCCTCCCAAGCAGAGCTTGACGGTTTCTTTGCTAGTTTGCCCGAAAACTAGCCGGTTCTTCGTCACGTAAAGCGCGTTGGTTATCCTTTGGTGGTTTGCTTGTAAACCTCTCTCGTTTCTTCACCACGAAAGAGTGACATCCTCGCTGCATTCTTCTGGTCTATAGCGGCCCGACGTCCAAGGCCCTATTGGTGTTTGATTCGGATCACTTCCGACGCCAACACACACACTTTACACATAAAGTTGATTACATGTTCTCATATAAGTTGTCTCAAGGATTTTGTATATATGTGCCATGTGTATGTATGTGCATCAAGACATCAATAGAATACCGAGGAGGAAATATGTTTTGTTCATTGTTGAAGGAAATTCAAGCAATCCACCTCTTGTGTTAGGAAAAGTACTTGTGCTTGACATATCAATATATAACAAACACGGCCTCCCATGTGAGGTTATATGATTCCTTAAACTTTTACATGGTATCTAAAGCTTAATCTTCCAAACACATCCGACAATGGTGAGCTCATCTTCATCATTGTCGATGTGCCCTCCTACTTCCAAGAAGCCTACATAGGAGAACTTTCTTCTGCGGAAGGCTCAAGTCCTCCCTACAATTCAAGGGTGCAAATAATGGATTACCTGGGTGGAGAAGATTGCACCGCTAGAGAAGATGCTTCACATCACCAACGCATTTATAGGAAAACAAAGACCCTTGCAAAACTATAATATCTGCACTACATTGTGTGGTGCCTTGTCTACACTTGGGTTGTATTTTTGATGTTGTACTAGTGCACCTTTGATCGCTAAAGCAACTCGATGGTGAGCATGAGATGCTCTAGAGGTGTGTTTTCTCATCTCAACAAGACTCGCCTCCAAAACCTTTGAGCAACTCTAAAAGAATTATGCTAATAGCTAAATAAACATGGTCTCCATGAAGGCAACTCGTTAGGTGCATACTAGAAATGGTGTTAAGATCTAGCAAGTAGCTTTTGTTTTAATGAAAGGAAGTAGCACAAGCTCACCACAAAAATCATAGAAAATCAATTGCCTGAGTGGCTTATCTAATCTATAGATTGACTCGGACTAGCAACACAAACATTCACTCTCCTACTATCCTAAAAATTACATCAAGATCCAAAGATCACCACCACGCGCCCCTGCACATAGCCAAGAAGAACCTCATAGCTTTTCTCTCAAGTTTTTTTGCAACAATTCAAGACTTCAAGTGAATCCACTTAACTTTTCTCAAGTTTTTGGAACAATTCAAGACTTCAAGTGAATCCAATGAACTGTCAAGAAATGACCCATGCACTCTCCTACTATCCTCAAAAATTACATCATTCAAAGATCACCACATCGCTGCCCTAGACATAGCCAAGAAAGAACCTCATAGCTCGAATCATAGTAAATGACCCACGTACTCCATCGTGATTGTCAATCCACAATCAACCTAATTGATCGTCACGGACAGAAGTCCATCCAAAATCTGTTTATATGACCTAGCTCCGCACGTAGAACGGGCCTATGTACCGCGTTGCACCTCTTTTATACTTTCGCCCTCGCTTCGTGTAAAAGGGTCAACCTGGAGGTGTTACGTTTGGCACGACAACAAGGATTATAAGCTAGCCCTCACTCTTCTAAACTTCTAAGGTAGTAGTTTTTTTAGCAGATTCTTAGGTGGTACTAAACCCACCAACTACAACTCATGTGTCACATGGGCCACATGGGCCAACAACACAACTACGTACTACAGGCTTCTAATGGGCTGCGGTGTTACATCTAGTGACTTTGCAAACATGCAAATGTTGTGTTGTCCAATTCTCATGCCCCTCTTTGCCCACCAGTAAGCTCGAAGTGGACTCAAGACCACCAGACTCAGCCCTCCTTCTACTCATCTCACTAGTCACTACTCTCCTCTCTCTCTAGAATAAAAGAACAAGGGTGAAGATGGGAGGAAGAGGAGGGTGGGTGGAGAAATTGAAGAAGCCCATGCTTGATGAAGAATAAGATGAAGCTTAGGACCTTGATATATCGTGTGTCTCCCTTCTTGTGTGGTTATATCTTTGCTTGTTCTAGTGTAAACTTGTTTACCTTTGTTCTCTACTATGAGTAGGAGCTCTCTAGTTTGCTTGATGTTCTAGTTGCCTAGGTTGTTTGACCTTGCTTACTAGAATTGTGTAGGAGCTTTTGCTAGTCACCCTAGTTGCCGCTTTGCTTATCTTGTGCTAGGATGCTAGTGTTGTTGTAGTAGGGTCAAATCGTTGTTCAACATTAATTTAGTTCTGCATTTATTTTGGCTAGGAATTACAATTAGTTTTAGAAATAACTATTCACCCCCTTCTCTAGTCGGTCCCCTTGATTGGACAGGAACAAGTGGTTTGGTTCAGGAATGAGTTCATCCGTCCTCACGCCGTTCTCTTTCGTTCTCCGGTTTCTCCTTCAGTTTGTCTGAGGCCAGGGGCAAGGCAGCCGGAGAATTGTGTTTGTCGCTTTCTTCCTATTACATCCTTCCATTTTCATCATCTTCTTCCGTTAGGCCAGGGCTAGAGGGACAGGAGCCGAGGTGGTTGGAGGCCGTTCGAGGAGTGGGTGCGGAAGCATGGGTTCCTCTTCCCATTTGACCGGGGCCTGAGGTAGGGTGGGCGAAGGCAATTCTAGTATAGAGGAATGGGCCTAGAGGCCTAGGAGAGCACAGTTAGAGGAGCGTGGGCGGCCTCACTCGATGCCGACAACAGGGTGGGCGAGGCGGGGTAGAGGCCTCACTTGGTGGGGGCGGAGCCATCAGGGGCGGGCCTACATGTATTCAAGGGTATTCAACTGAATACCCAAAAATTTCGCCAAAACCTTTTGTATATATAGTGTATATATGTAGGTGTAGGAAAAAACAAAATAAAGCCAAAACAAATATCATGTTAAGAATTCAGACAAAAACATGTATTCTACTACTGCTTTTCCACCCCACTCGATGGCCCAACAAGGCCCAAAGAAGACTGTGGCTCCAACATCTCCCCGCCGGGCAAGACACAAAGCGCATCACAACTCCACAAATTAGAGACATCGGCACATCACCTGCCGTGCTCGCCAGACGCCTCTTTTCTCTCCTGTTTTCTTCCTAAAACCTATACCTAGCGCCACCGATGGCGGTGGCTGAGCAATGACTCGGGCAGTGGCAAGGCACATTGGCACGAGGCTACATTTACAACAAAATTCACGCTTAAATTTTTTTGGTACATATACAACACAAACTTGGGTTTGTTTGTACTTGATTTAAAATACCAAATTTCATGTTAAATTTTACTATTACTTACTGGATTTCTAAATAGATTTCATCGATTTACATATGAAAATTTTAGTGTTGCATACCTACAAAATTCTAGATCCATCATTGGATTTTACATTGTAAAAAAATGATTCGTCTTCACAATTTTGAATACCCATGTTCAAAATCTTGGGCCTGCCACTAGGAGCCATGGGCAGGGGTGGAGGGAGGTGGCGGAGTGGGGGCTAAGGCTGGGGTTAGGGTGGTGACGGACTAGGTGACCTAAGGAAGAAGAAGGTGAGAGAGAATAACACGCGGATCCCACATAATAGGTGTCTAACAAATCACAAACGGACATGTATCATCCCATCCTTGTTAGCCGCTCCAACCAAACATGGAACCGAGATGGCTCCAACCCCTTCAACCAAACACCAGACTAGGATAATTCCAACAAAAAAAAACTAGAATGGACCCATCCCATCCCACTTCATAATTTGAAAGTGAACACACCCTAATTATGCAGAGCAACCGTACGTTGGTTACACCTGTATTATAGGATGGGACCAAGGGTGCCATCCATCCAGTTCATTCTCAATCTCAATTATAGCCTCACCTTTAATTTCTTTTAAGGATAGACAGGCGGAGCCTGCTCATCTCTAGCTGGTAGCTAGCGGTTCGCACTTCATAGTCGTAGCTCTTTTCTCACATGTGTAGTATGCCAGCTACTCCATGTACGTAAGGCTCGTTTGGCATAACTTCGATGGCTCTAGCTACCTACTGTAGCACATGACTAAATGGCTTTGGCCCTAGTAAAACATAATTGAAGGAACCAGAGAAAAGCTGTTGTTTCAGAGTTCGAACTGCTCTACTACACTGCTGCTATATATTTAGCTGGAGCCATGCGAGACTCTTCCAAGTTCCATCTCGGGGCCGTAGTGTGCCTGTGCTCCGGGCACGGGTGCCGCCAAAGACCGGGCGCAGACTGTGTAGTGCATTATTGGTAGTGTATTAGAACTAGAACGGGCGGACGCAAGCACGGGGACGGAGATTGCTGCGAGATCTAGCTGCCCGCCGTCATGGCGCTTCGTCTCCTCCTCCTCCTCCTCTTTCCCCTCCTCTCCTCCGTCGCCGGGCTCAGGCGCAGCGACTTCCCGCCGTCCTTCCTCTTCGGCGCCGGCACGTCGTCTTACCAGGTACGAATGTGCGGCAGCCGATGCCGAGCTCAGCATGCTAACTCAAACGCACGCATGCATGTAAGCAGTCTGCATGCTGCCATCATTTTTTTTCATCAATTTGCAAACTGAAGGTGGAAGCCAGATTCCTTTGAACGGCTAGATGCTCTGCTCTGGACGTGTGCCTCATTCTCCTTCTATCGTTTCCCCTTTGACTACTCAACGAAACTGTAGCTCTCCATCTAAACCTTTCAATTTTTGTTTTGCTGATCTGATCATACCTGCAGTGCCTGATGATATAGTATGTTAGTTTGGATACTTTCTCCTCTATTGTTTTCCATTTAAATCCTTCTTATGACTATCTTCTACATCTCATTCTAGATTGAAGGCGCCTACCTAGAAGACGACAAGGGCCTGAGCGATTGGGATGTCTTCACCCATATTCAAGGTGCTTCCATAGGTCTCAATTATGCATACGATGATCTAAGCCATCTAAGCAACTCAATAATAAGGGATATAAGCAAACTATGGCAGCCTTGAGTGGAAGTAGCTACTATACAGTAGTTAAGGAGATTCTAGAACAAGCGATTCGTGCGGATATTTTTCAGTGCTTTTCTTCAAATTACTTGGAGATGTATACATTTAGGAGGTCATTGCACACTGCAGTTTCCTCTCTCTTTTTGTCTCAGTTAAAGCATCTCCATCAACACCCCCTACATCCAATTTGGGTAGTGGAGGGCAAAAACTCAGCTCCAGCAGGCCCCTACTACACTCCTCAGATTTGTTGGCCTTCTATTTTCTCCCTCCTACTACCCATTCTTGTTGGCCACCTACTCCATTATCCAAACTTTTTTTTTTCTCGCAACTGCTTGGGACGCGCTTCTTCCACGCGACTCCTCCCGACACGGCCATCGCCTCAAGAACACGGCCTCCCCTGGGGCGTGGCTAGCTCCGGCTTGGCGAGGCCAGCCCCATAAGGCGCTGCTTGCCTCGGCAACCGCTCTGCCTCACAAGGCAGACGGCCGTCTGCCGGCGAGGCTAACCTCAAGCGGCCTGCACGCTGCCGACGAACTACTCCCTGAGATGAACCTGAGAGAGGATGATACGGGTCCCAATGTCATTCTCTAGGAGAATGGTTTTGAGGGGTCCGTTTTAGGTAGTGCTGTTGGAAAAAACAACAAAAAATGGATAGTGTTGAAATAGGTGGTTATCCAAATCAAGAGGTAGAGGGTCTGATTTGGGTAGCATTGCTGGAGATGCTTTAGAGAATCATTTCACGCTCTTTTTTTTTTGAACTGGAACAAGGGTTTCCACTGACCAGTGGCTCTGGGCATATCGCCAGAGACCAAATTGGTCACAAATTCGGGACTTGGTCCATGAACACATCAGAACCATAGCGCACAACACTCGCCCCACAAGCAGCAAGGCTATCAGCCACTTTGTTGCAAGATCTCCTGCATGACCGGACCTCACACTGAACAAAAGACCCACTCATGAATTCCCTTATACGGTGAAATATGCAGCCTTCCGGACTCCTATCCATTGAGTCAGACCTCAAAGCCTTCTCCAAATTTGTTGCATCTGTCTCAACAATAATTTTGGTCATTTCCAGTTGTGCCACTCTTTGAAGACTTTTCAAAGCTGCTAGTGCTTCAGCATGTATTGGGATTGTAATAAGTCGCTCAAGATGTCCACATGCCCCCTCTAAGAACTCTCCATTGCTGTTGCGAGCAACAAAGCCCCAACCATCTGACCACGTTGTAGCACGATAGAAAGCATCAATATTAATCTTGTAACAATCAGGTTGTGGTGGCTCCCATTTCTGTTTTTTCTTCGGTCTTTTCTCTCCTTCCTTTTTCTTCAGCTTCTCAAAATCTATGACATAGTAAGTCACAAGTGAGCAATTTCGCTGCAGACATTCTGTCTGTTGTATAGCAAGTGAACAGTTTTGGCCAACGAATGCATCTTCTGTTTAGAATTGGGAGGGGCCTAAGTGAACAGTTTTGGAAGTAAAGGACCAGATTAGGATGACTCACCGGCTCTGTGCTATAGTAACCAGAGATCCACAGAACGTGCCCCGCTCACAGAGGATCCGTGGTGAATGGTGATAGTGATGCCTAACGCGAAACCCGCGCTGGAGTCCACCCAACTATTACAGTTTTGTGCTGAAAGCCAACCAAAATCATTAATTCACCGCTGATAGACTCGATTCAGGAGGTGGCTGTCCCTGCTATAAACATGTGCACTTTGAAAATCACAGACGTCACTTGATTTTGTTGCCTGTCTTAGTCTTGGCTATTAACCAAAATCAGGAAAGATTGAGGATGGAAGCAATGGCGACGTGGCTGCTGACCATTATCATCGATACAAGGTAAGCATCATCAGAAACATAAAGACATTTTTATCAGTGCTCATGCATTTTTTTTTTAACCCTGCATAAATCAGAAAGATAAAGGGGCCTGGCAGTTCCTCCAAAAACAGAATCTCACTCAAAGTCACACTGGCAGGAGGACATAGAAATAATTCATTGCTTGGCCTCGACTCCTACAGATTCTCATTGTCCTGGTCGAGAATACTTCCAAGTGAGCTCATTCTCAGAATCTCATGAGTACACCAACTGTCGATGCCTTTTTGCCCCAGCTTCCAGCCCGACAAACACGCACGGAGTCCTTCCTTAATAGCAGCGTTTAACTTAAATTATATGCTTACCTTTCAAATGTCCCTGGTCAGAGGGTCGCTTCGGAGGTGTTAATCCGGCAGGTGTTAAATTCTATAACAGCCTCATCAACGGACTGCTAGGAAAAGGTAATGCATTCTTTGTTCTGTTGTTATGTGGCCAGCTACCTCTCTCCACAAATGCCATCCTGCAAAACAAGCAAGCCTTTCAGTTCAGTCTCTTTCATCTGGGCCTGGCATTTGATACGCTTGGTTTAGGGATACAGCCATTTGTGACGATCAACCACTATGACATACCCCAGGAACTCCAAGAAAGATACGGCTCCTGGTTGAGCCCAGAGATTCAGTAAGCCCATATCATAGCTTTATCTATGAAGATGCAGTAAGCTCATATGTGGTTGTTTCTGCATTTCTGTTCAGGGAGGACTTCACCTACTTTGCTGAACTTTGCTTCAAGATGTTTGGTGACCGAGTAAAGCACTGGGCTACATTAAATGAGGCAAATTTTCTGACAAAGCTCAAATACTTCATGGGGAAATTTCCACCAGCCACTGTTCCGAGCAAGTAAGGGGAAATGCGATTCTGGGAATTCATCAACTGAGCTCCTACATTGCAGCGCATAACATGATATTAGCTCATGCAAAGGCGGTCAACATCTACAGAAAGTATTACAAGGTACAACAGACACATTTGGATAAAAGGAGTGGGGACTAACTGTGCTTGTTTCAAATCCTCATGGAAGTTGTATAAGTTGTTTTCCTTGTTCTCCATCCTTCTCAGGCCAAGCAAGGTGGCTCTGTTGGAATTTCAGTATATATGAGATGGTATGAACCACTGAGGAATATCACAGAGGACCACTTGGCAGTAAGCCGAGCTCTGTCTTTCCAAGCTCCATGGTATCAGTTGATTCAGTAACCTTCCATCATACTAGTATTATACTATTGAACTGACTTCTTGGTCTTCGTGATTGAATCCTCACTTGATGATATATGCTAAAATAGGTTCCTGGATCCCTTGTTCTTGGTGACTATCCTCATCAAATGCGCCAAATCTTAGGTCCAAACTTGCTGAAATTCACAGAAGGAGAGAAGCAACTACTGAAAAACCAAATTGACTTCATCGGCATAAATCACTACGAAACATTATACATCAAGGATTGCATATATTCTCTATGTGATTTGGACACCTACGCCGGTGATGCTTTAGTTACTGAATCAGCAGAACGAAATGGGATACCCATTGGAAAACCGGTAAAAGTTGTCCATGTTACATTGCATTATTCTATGCAACAACAATCCTACTTCCAAATTGATTGGCACAACCTAACACTAGTAAATTAATATTGCAGACACCAGTTGCAAACACCTATGTGGTTCCAAGCTCTATGGAGAAGTTGGTCATGTATTTCAACCAGAGATATAAAAGCATACCTTTGTACATCACAGAGAATGGTGGGTTACTAGGTTTGGCAAAATCTACACATTAGCTACAAAACGTGTGCCTTTGTACAGAACAATGGTTCACTTCTATGCATCTTTATATATAGTACACTTGTAGTACACTGGTACCATAATAATATCCGTGTGGACCCTCTTGATCTCCCTTTTTGGTTTTTCAGGTTATGCCCAAATAGGCAATAGCAGCACCACAGCAGAAGAATTAATTAATGATACTGAAAGATCTAGTTACATTCGTGACTACCTCACTTACTTGAGCTATGCAATAAGGTTGTCACATTCCTCAATTATCTTTTCATCTAAACTGCTCTGCAGCCAGGTAATAACAAAACTTTGTTACTTCCTTCCAGGAAAGGAGCAGATGTGAGAGGTTTATTTGTGTGGTCTTTGATGGATAACTTCGAATGGCTCTCTGGTTACACCACAAAGTACGGTCTTTATCATGTGGATTTCAAGTCACTAAAGCGAACACCAAAACTGTCTGCTAAATGGTACAGCAAGTTTATCAAGGGCTATGAACAGATAGAGATGGCCTCTGAAGAATCACCTAAGCATATGGTTTCCTAGAACAGAAATACAGAATTCTCAAGGTCCATGTATGTATAATAATACCCAGTGATTTGATAAATAAAGATGTTTACAAAGGAAATTATTTGGTAAATTTCTCGTGTCCATGTATGCCAGTGCCATAAACTCTCAACCATTTTTTTATCAAATATGCATCTAAAGGAGTTTACTAAAAGAAAAGAAGCAGAGTACATAATCTGACCATCCTCCTTCCTGGTTCAGAAGCCCCCCATGTATTACTAATATAGCAATAACATGAGGATGGTAACAAGATATTGCATTTTATGATGGTTTACCCGCGCTTGGTCTATATGTCCAGGTTTTGGTGAAATTTAGCTTAACAGGGACTGAGAACTCATTGAATTCATCAAATACAACTTGCAACACATAACTAGTGGCTATCTGGATTAAATTGTGCATTACGCAGTGTGTTAGAAATGTGTCGAATATTTATTTGTACTAATGGGGTTACAGTAGACTTGTGTTGTAATTAGCAGTATAGGGTTAGGTGACTTTGGTGTTGGCTCTTGTAACCTAGTCCCTCTATAAATGGAGGAGGGGGCTGCACTTGTAACCCACTCGTGTCATGAGAGTGAAAAGCAACACGGAGTGACAGGCTCATGGGTGCCGTGCGGCTTTGGCTTTGGTGCCCGGGCAGCAGGTGTCATGTTTCAGGAGGAGCCCTGTAAGCATGCCCTGGGATGTAGGTTTCGACCGAACCTCGCTACCAAATATCGAAGTTTCTTGTGAAGTGTGTGTGATCTCTGTGAGCATCTCGCCTAGGTAGTTCCAAGCAATCACTTCCGTGTTAGGCACTGGTATCACAACAATTGGTGTATCAAGAACTCCAGGTTGATTTGAGAATCTTAGGAGGAGAGGGAAGAGGTGAAGACTCGAGGATCATGCTCGATGGGTGTCATGGTATTGCTGGGGTGGCACAAGGTGGAGCATGGCGGCCACCGTGTTCTGTTTGGTGGTGTCGGACACTCTAGGAAGGAGTCCCAGAGACCATCCGATGGGCTGCAGCTTGGTGAGGATAGGCGGACGTGGCGGTTGGACCGACATAGTGCTTGTTGAAGGCGGCGTGGGGAGGTCGTGGCTGTCAATCCGATCTTGGCGGGGCCGTGACGTGGTGGGAGCCGGGTCGACTGGAGGGGAGCACCGCGGTGATGGTGGTGGGACCGGGTGTTGCCGGAGAGGCTACGATCCACGGTTACAACGAGAAGAGGGTGTCGATGATGCTGGTCATGGTGCAGCATGTCTCGTGCCATGTGGAGGTGTGCGAGGGTGTCTTTGTCGGCGGTGGCTGAACGCTACATGATGGAACACGCTCAACACGGCCTATGACAGAGATGCGTATATTGTTGTCGGAAAGATTGGCGGCGTGGGAAGCGTGGTTCACTACAAACTTCCGACCCGAACGACGTAAAAAACATTGCAATAGGCCCTAATTTGGTTGCAAAAGGTAGATGTTGCAACCAAATCGTGTTCGCTGCCAATGGTTGCAAAAAAGCCACGTTGCTACAAGGTATTGTAACCGTTGCTTACTTTGACGCTATGCATTTGTTGGGGGCTTTTTGCAACCATAGCTGTCCGTTGCTAAGCATGGCAATAGGACGTTATCGCAACTTTCACGGTTGTCGTAATATAAGCACTTGCCACGCCCATCTTCGTAGCAAGAGGTGGTACATGCAACGATCGATAGCGAGCAACAGAGATATTTGCCATGAACAACGTCGTTACCGTAATAGTCTCATATTGCCACACTAGAATTTTGTTGCCTAAGGTGTTATTGCCATGACCGCCATGTCGTAAGCAATTACAACCATTGCCACGTAGTTTGATTCGCCGAGAGATCGCACGCTATTGCCATTTAATAGTTGTGCCATGGCAATATTACCATTTGCCATGCAATTTTATTCGCTCTTGTAGAGATCTTATGTTATTGCCACGGTCAGTCATGTCGTTGGCAATACTACCATTTGCCAATGCAATTTTATTCATTGCTGCAGATCATATTGCACAACGCAAGTGAGTTCGTTGCCAGAGATCATATTGCCACCCATAGCATCTCGTTGGCATAGTTTGTATTTGCAACGCTAGTAGCATTCAACTTGTTGTTTAATAAATCATCATTGCAAAAAACAATAAACCATAACAAAACCAATTGGACTCACATATATTAATTATAATCAATCATTCAATAAGTAGACATACCATTGTAGTACTAAAATCACAAACGAATGTGCAGTACATAGAATTTCAAGACTATTTAAAAAATTGCAGCAGTACAAGACTTCCTAATATCTATTGAGCACTTGCAAACTTCCTAGCAATGCAACCTGCCATAATCTCGATTGTGTCTTTGCTAGATTACTGCTAGATTCTGAGCCTCCCATAAAATTTGTCCACCTATTCACCAAAAGAATAAGATTGGGATATTAGTAAACTAGACTTAGTAATTCAATACACATAATGTAAATAAATTTGGATACAACATGTTTCATCCATTTAGCAATCAAATTCTTTTACAACTTGAGATACATCCTTTTGTCAAGCCATTAACAGGTATTGACAATTATCCATCGATCCATAAACCAACAGTAGGTAACTAAAATATCATGCACATATACAACCAAATATATATCACAATAACCTACCATTTTAACAAAATATGAACTCAAATGCTCACCTCACTTTCCAATTCAACAGCAAGCCTAAAGAAGCTTAGGTGTGACTATCTGAACTTCACATGATGTGCAAATGGTTCTTCAGAGCCTTTCCCAGAAGCTAACTTTAAATTGACCCTTAAACAAAGCAGAAAAGCAAGGCATCATCAATGGCACATAACCTGGTAAATTCAAGTACATGCTATAGTATCAGAAATTCAGCATGATATTTTAGTACAGGAAAATAATCTGCTATTCAAGCTGAATAGTTTAAGGATGTATCCGAGTGGCCATCAGCACAAGCACAATAAATATCTTACTAGCAAGTTCCAGATATAACAACAATTTTACTTGCATTCGAAAAGGTATGCACATGCATTCACATAGAAAATTGGCATACAACTTTAAATAAGCAAATCTGCTCTGATTGTCGATACATTTGTTTCCAGCAGTTTAATACAGGATTGTTTATACGCTGACAAGTTGGAATCGACAGTCATTCAATTAATCATGTCACTGAAAAATCATGATTATCGATACACTTGTTTCCAGCAGCTCAATATAGGATTGTTTATACGGTGACATGTTGGAATCGATAGTCACTCATTAATCATGTCACCGAAAGCCCACGACACTGAACATCCCTTATTGGAGAATGGGTGGCTTACCTAGGATCATTCTTGCCAAAATCGATAATGGTATACTTGCACAGATGCTGTCAACGACCAAAAAATAAAACTTGAAAAAGCAACTCTAAATAGCGAGAAATGGACTATAGCTCGACCACTGACTCCATGCATATATAGAATAATGACATAAAATTGCATGTACTGAAAATGATTCACATCTCTAGGGCCATGTTTGGCAGCTTCCACATATAATTGGTAAATAATGCACAAATATTTTTGTTTGAGATAGTTAGGACTTCTGATTAAAAAATATTTCCAGTCAAGAAAAAATTTAAAACTTGCATTATAGATCTGCACACTGAAGGCCATATAAAAGACCACTGAAGATAAGTCCAGCTGTAAGTGGTTTTTAGACATTTTTCGTATCCAAATTTCAGAATATTGTGTACATTATATCGAAGAACTTACTCAACAGTCATGGAGGAGGGTACAAAAAAGGAAATTTTACCCTCTGCCAGTCATGAAGTGCCATCTTATTGCTGTTGTCCAGATCAGGCTCCCCACCAACCCTGAAACAAAAATGTACTTATTAGATTAGGGTAAAGAAACATCATTACTATGTGAATGAATAATTCATACTGTGCCTTTTCTAACACAGGAGTAATATAGAAATTTGTAATAATCTGGTTAAATATCCATTTTCCTACAAATTAGGTGGCAGAAATATTTGGTACAAATATAGCAATATATCATCAGATATTAACAACGCATGCAATGCCTTAAGAAGTTTCCCCCAGTAGTCCTGCACAGCTGGACGAGAAAAATTTTATCATCAGCCCTGCAGAAAAAAGATAAATCCAGCATTAGATTTATCATCAGCCCTGCAGAAAAAGATAAATCAGCATTAGATCGTGCCATGGGTTTGGCATATGATATTCATAATCAACAAATAGATGCACTTAAAATGTAAGGGAGAACATGTTTGAAGTGTAACTATCGAAAACAGTAGTACACCAAAAAAAGAAGGTGCCAAATGACCATGCTAAATTTAACCATCTGATGGTGAGTTAACAATTTAGGCAACTACTGAGTCATTCAGTGCCAAATTGAGTACAAAGTGGCCAAAAAAAATAGTACAGTCAAAACCTAGAATCAAATGGACAGCAACACTTTAGTCTGGACTCTGGGTAGCCAGCTATTCACTGCACCAGACACCAGAGTTAGTTCTTATCCAAAAGATCTATCACTGGAATTGATATTTTGGAAGTCAGATACCTATGGGATATGACTGCTACATTTGAGATGAAGGTCTACATTTTAGGTTAATAACAAGGTTATTACAAATCCGAAAGGCTATGGCAAGATAGCAGCATTTGTTACATATGAATTAACAGTTGTGACAAGGGAAATAGTTCTACCATGATGACTGGAAATGAGGGCTTACAGGATTGATCTACTGCTGTTGAAAGCATCAGCTGAAGAAAGAAGCATATGCCACGGATGATAATTATTTTAATTGACAGACGGTCAAAATTTTTAATCAAGCGCCTGACACTTAGCTTGGATTACCAGCAGACATATAACCACATAGAGCTATGTACTTAGGTCTTGTTTAGTTCCTCCCCAAAATTTTACAATCTTTATCTCATCGAATGTTTGGACACATGTATGTATGGAGTATTAAATATAGACTAAAAAATAA